TTTGAACCTTATATTGTTTAACATCAACAAATTAGATTTCGAATGTTAAAACCAATTTCAACCAATTAAAGGATTTATCCTTTAATTTTAAAAAAATTTCAAACTGAAATAAATATATAACACTGTACGGTACAGTTGTGTTTAATTATGTTTTGCGATTCCTTTGGAAAAGGTATTTGTGCACCAAGTACTACTAGGTCAGTATGAGATATGCTGAATGTTGTCAATATACCATCTGAATACACTTTACTTTGCGTTAATCATTGGACATCCTAATGATTAAGGTCCCCAAAAGGACTTAATCAGACCTCAGTGGATATTTTTACTCTCCATCTCTCTCTCAGAGCATCCCCTTGTGTGTTGTATGTGGGTGCTGAAGTTCAGTCTCTTGTCTATGTATAGGTGAAGGAACTTTCCATAATTGTTATTGTTAATGTTTACTTGTAATACTGGGTATACATCCGGTGTTCTTACCCTCGACCGCGGAGAGGGTAAGCCGCGGTCGTATGGTCTGAAACCCACAAATATTTACAATGGGGTGGGGGGGGGTGCATAGTTCACACAAATGAACTATGTTACTTAACTGGAAGTACTCGTACAACATAATTTACACGATTTCTCAGGATTATTATACTTCTTACCAGCATATATACAGTATAGTACCTAGGAGGTTCTCTTCAATGATATAGCAAGTTGATATCTAAGATAATTAAAAGAACCCAAGCAAACTACTGTGGAAATGTGCAGGACAAACATATCAATTGTGACACTAGCTCTCCACATATGGCATTTGTTAATTTAGAAACTGTACTTCTGGTCGATCTGAAACCCATGTTGTTGATTTGACGATGTGTTATGAATTTTGTGGCTAGCTCCTCAAGATTGTAACTTGCTTAGATAAATAAATTGTGTACTCAGTCCCTGAACCCATTATGAGATAAATTAACTAAACTAAAAACTATAGTATGGCGACGAAACCTGAACTGCATAATGTAAATAGGGATTAACCAGAAAAAAGATATAGGTGAAGAATAACACCAGGTGTTTCATTACTAACATTCTTAAGCACAACTGGCAAATACTTCGTCTGGTCATTTGTTTGGTTTGAGTTTGATATATGTTTAATAACAATAGAACAGAGAATGACTGAAACAATTCTTAGGTTCAAACGCTGTACCCCCAAGAGCTTAATTAAAAAATTCAAGTTATTGAACGATTTTTATTTGAATTGTTCTGCCGGAAAGATATTTAGAGAAGTTTTTTAGTGATTATGTATGTGCTGTTTAGAAGCAGCACATCTGGATGGTCTCTCTCTCTCGAGTCCTGCTGCCAGATTGGGTTAAAAAACAGTCCCCGTGGCATAGTGGTAAAGCACTCGTTTGTACAGTATCTACCGGGGAGAATTGACCAGGTGCCAATCCTTAACAGTAGCCTAGCTCTGTTCACCCAGCAGTGAATGGGTACACAGTTTGGAGGGTTGTATTCCGGGGTCAAAATTAGGATTAAGGACATGCACGAACCGCTATGTGTGGTAGTGACTTTACAAGAATGTAAGAACTCTTGTATATATAAATAAAATAAATAAATAAAACGTAGCAAATTAGGCTAGTTAGTTTTGACTGCTCTCATAAATCAACTCATCATCCTTATAGACGTTGAGCTACTAATGTTAAAGTCAATGATCGATTAGTTATCCACATATAAATGTAATATGTGTAAATGACAGCTGCGTCAAACAGCCTGGTGGACCAAACTACAAACCGGAGGAGACCTGGTCCTCGGGGGTAATTAGCTTTGGGTAATTACACGGTCCTCTTGAGTGACGTAATGAATATGGGGGGCACAGTAAACTAAGACTCACAGAATGAGTATGTGGTTCAAAATATATAAATATATATATACAATATATGACAAAAATTTTAAAATATATTTTATGTTTCTGAATTTCTGGTGATATATAATATATAAGGCTTCTACTTAAGTTAAAAGCTGTACTTGTAGATGACATTCCCCGGTTTGGCACCTTCTTGTGAAAATTACTTGCTTGTGGCTGACATATATAATCTGTCAGGCATAACTCACCTAGACATCGATCCTGCATCATATGATGATAGAGTGCAATTAAGGTAATATTGCAACTTTATAGAAAATCGTTAAATCATAAATATATCTTGGTTCTTATATTTGAAATATTGTTACATTCAACATTTGAAAACAAAGTTTATATCTGTTTTTTTTTAATAAAATTTAAAACATTAATGTTTATCAACTCATCTCTGTTAGTTTAGTTCATTTATTATGGACCCCATACCCATCTTGTGGGGCGGTAGTGGATAGGGTTACAGAGGCACATAATGGGCTGAGGGACTGACGTGCTTATCTCTGAAGCAAGACACAGATATAATGAAATAATCAATGATGGAGTCAGAGTCTGTCTCCTGTGGATTCCTTCCCATATTGGTCTCCGAATGCATGATAGAACTGATGAATTGGCCAAGACTTTTGCTCGCAAAGAGGGAATTGATTACCTACTTGGACTGCCTTTGAGCAGCCTGAGGGCAGCAATATCCCAGGAACATCAACTAAATTTCGGAGACTTGAGGCAAAGTGAAATTCACACCAGTTACCCCATCTTTTTTTTTTTTTTTTTTTTTTGAGATATATGAAAGAGTTGTTACATTCTTGTACAGCCACTAGTACACGTGAAGTTTCGGGCAAGTCCTTAATCCTATGGTCCCTGGAATACGATCCCCTGCCCCTGAAGAATCGTTTTTTCATCCAAGTACACATTTTATTGTTGCGTTAAACAGAGGCTACAGTTAAGGAATTGCGCCTAGTAAATCCTCCTCGGCCAGGATACGAACCCATGACATAGCGCTCGCGGAACGTCAGGCGAGTGTCTTACCACTACACCACGGAGACTGTCAAAATCATTCTATTATCCATCATCATTCTATTATGCAGGAGGTACCGCACGTCTATGGGTCATCCAATAATGCTAGCAGATTTCTAGAAGTTACCACTGTTAGGTTTAGGCTCGGCTACAAGTACCTCTGGGAGTTTGTAACATCTGCTGATGTAGATTTGACTAAATGTAAACTGTGTCAGCAGAACTATTCGCATACTTTGCGTCATTATATAATGGAATGTGAAAAAAATAGCGGAATTTAGAGATAGCACCATCAATAGTGTCCCAGAAATGTGTAAGTACTTCATTCATATTGATGTGCTGCCCTAAATCTTAGCGAAGTATCCAAAATTTGCTTACTGTAAGTTATGCATGCACATGACTCTAAAGCTGCCGCCCAGTTGGGTGGGTGTGGAGCACATGACTGTAAAGCTGCCGCCCAGTTGGGTAAGTATGCAGCACATGACTGTAAAGCTGCTGCCCAGTTGAGTGGGTGTGCAGCACATGACTGTAAAGCTGCCGCCCAGTTGGGTGGGTGTGGAGCACATGACTGTAAAGCTGCCGCCCAGTTAGGTAAGTGTGGAGCACATGACTGTAAAGCTGCCGCCCAGTTGGGTGGGTGTGGAGCACATGACTGTGAAGCTGCCGCCCAGTTGGGTGGGTGTGGAGCACATGACTGTAAAGCTGCCGCCCAGTTAGGTAAGTGTGGAGCACATGACTGTAAAGCTGCCGCCCAGTTGGGTGGGTGTGGAGCAAGACTAGTAACTGTGCGACTCTTCATAGATGTAAAGTGCCTTGTATAGTGACTGTTGTGAGCCTCTTGTTGAATCACTTGTGACACAAAAGATTACTGATGTGTGTATTTGTGTGTGTGATTAAATATTGTATGTGTATGTATATTTGTATTCGTATGTATATGTACATGTATGCATAAGTATGTGTACATTAATAATTTTGTAACTAGCGTCAAAAGATTGTTATTTGCTTAGCTAAACGAACTAGAGGGTTCAGTTCCTGAACCGATTATGTGCCTCTGTAATCCTTTACACCACCGCCCACGGGATGGGTATTATGGGGTGCATAATAAAGAAAGAAAATGAATGGACCGAACCCCACAATTCATTTAACTAAGCAAGTTACAATCTTGATGAGCTAGTTACAAAATTCACTATAAGTCGTCACATCATAAATGGGTTCGAGATGGACCACAAGTAGTGCATTACATAATTTATCAGTATTGTGCAGCCTGTGATCCCCGCCTGGCTGGATACTGATACCTAGGTAGTTTTCATGTGTCCGGACACCGGCGATAAGGTGGTATTATTTATTTAACTTAAGAGATATATATTTTTAAATGTTGTCACATTAACGGCTACATCTTCTTTTCTTCTGACATATAGATTTTTAAGATTAATTAAAATATATGGAAACTAATTATACAATTTATTGGCTGGTGTGCAGGGCTTCACACTCTCAGAGCTAGCCATCAAGTAACTATCAAAACGCATATATCTTCGTTTTCACTTCAGTTATTTTTATGACAAAGGATTTTAAATGTAGCCTAAATTTCTACCTTTCTGATGAAATAAATACTTTCGTTAATTACAATATCTAGATCAAAGTAACATTGATTTTCAAAAGGTTGTATATTTTCCATCAATGGAGAGCATCAGCCAAGAAGCCTTCTTTAAAATATGAATATCTTTCCTCACTCAATAAGATCTAATCTCTGAATAAAACGCAAAAAAAGGGTCATCTACGTTCAAATTCGAAAAATTTCGAAAATTTACAAAAATTCTGAAAAATACTACAACGTTCTGGCAACGCTGTGGTGCAAACCGTTTTATGTTATCTTGAAAAATAACGTAATTAGAGTCAAATTTCCCGCTGCAAGTCTCCCCAATCCGGTTCTCGTGGCCTGGGTGCGCCGTGGGGTATTGTGTCTTACGTTGTAGAAGTCTAATATTTCGTAATAGCGTGGAAAATAACGTGTTATGCATAAAACGAATATAAACTCACTCATTGGCAACAGTCTCGTGTGAGAGAGGGGTGGGCTTGCTGGCCTAGTCAGTCACTATTTGTGTCCCTCAGCTCGTGGATCTATCGTGGACGCGCTCTCACAATTTGTGCTATTTTTACTGCAAAATGACGTACAAAACGAAGATGAGGAAAACTATGAAAGCTGAAAGCATGCTAGCTGCCCGTAGAAGGTGCGAGCTGGCTAGAATTCGTAGATTACGCACTTTGACGAGTGAAGATCGAGGCGGCCAGTAAGCCACAAGTGTTGCAGCCCGCTGCCCCCCCCCCCCCTCCTCACACAATCCCACCCTCTGCCACCGCACATTTTCCACCTTCTACTCCAGGTCTTGCACCTGCTACTCCAAATCTAACTGGACTGGTACTTGAACAAAAAGGACAAGGATATGCAGAGACCAACGAGACGCACAACCAAACCAAGAAAGGCTCCTGAGGGAGCTGACCCCAGCTATGGCGCAGGTGCCTACTAGTGCCACTCCAGTGCCACCTTGAGGACCCATATTTCTGACCAATTATATTAGGTTAGTATGTTTTAGTGTTATATTGTGATATTACTTTAAAAATATTTGTACATATAAAACTGGTGGCAAATATATATATTTTTATTATTTTTTTTTTTAAATAAGTTTTTTTTATTTAAATAATTTTTTGTATTTTATTTATCAGGCGATCTGCATGCACACCTTACTGAACCCATGCCTATCTACAAGGGTGCAAATTTTGAATGATATTGGTCAACATCAACCTCAGCTAAAGGTGGCTGAACTTTAACCTCCATTTGTGCAGGTAAATATTTTACAATTTTATCTGATTTCACAGACCATATTTATTATTCAATTTACATGAAACTTGCACATTATATGTAGAGTTAATGCCTCTAAAACATAGTGGTGGCTTTTCTTTCTACGTAGATTTATTGATTTTAGAAATATCATATTGTTGCATAGGATTTTTGGGAAATTTACAAAATCTGTATTATTGCACTAAATACATCTGGGATAAAAATCTATTAGACAAATCTTTATTATATAGTAAAGTCATAGCTAAGTGTCATAGAACTGATTTCGGTTCACAATTGTGGGCTGTGAAATGATTTGAACATTGTTGAAAAATTGTCTAAAAAAACGTTTTTATTTTTTTTCTCCCTCTCTATTTAGGCTGCGATGCTGAAACTTGGCCCAGTTGCAGCATCTTTTACATGTATCAGGATAATGAATTTTCAATGCCCTGCAACAACTTTCAATTTTCATCTAGCCAACCCCTCAAATTGATTGTAACCTATCCACCGCTGCCCATTGGATGAGGGAGAGGGGGTTATATGTAGGATAAACATATCAATTGTGACACTAGCCCTCCATATATGTCAGTTGCTTAAATTATAAACTGTACTTGTGGTCGGTCTCGAGCCCATTGTTGATGTGACAATGTGCATTGACTTTTGTAACTAGCTTATCAAGATTATAACTTGCTTGGCTATATGAATTGTGGGGCTCAGTCCCTGAGCCCATTATGTGCCTCTGTAACACTCTACTATCGCCCATAGGATGGGTATGGGGTGCATAATAAATGAACTAAACTAAGCTCTGCCTTTTTGATAACATATACAATTATAAGCTTTATTTGTGAATCTCAATTAATTAAACAATATATCACAGAGCCTGTAGGGTTCGGTGAGATGAGCGAAGAGACATGGGAGATTTTACATAAGTACAGTACTACAGTACAGTTTAAGTAGCGAACGCATGTCAACGAATAACGAGTATATATATCAAAACTATTGTTCTATGAAGTCAATTTAACTTCCAAACATATATTTTTTAATAAATGCTAAATGTTTTCTGGTTAGTTATGTTAGATTTTATTAAAAATATGTATTCTACTTGTTAACATTATAATTTAAATTTGTGATAATTTGTGCAGAGAAGTGCGACAACTGGATATGCCAACAAACACTTTCCAAACAACGATATATCTTGGATAAGTCGCTCCACAACATTGACGTTTGGACCGTCGACTTCCTTTGATGCTACTTATTTACTTATTTCATAATGAAATTATATTAGTTTGGAGTAAATATATGTTTTCTCATGTTCTGCATTCAGCACCCACATTATAGTGAGTATATATACCATATTACTTCTTCATTACTTAAATAATGCTAGGAGGGATTGAGTAGCTTTGGGTCTTTAGTGGACAGAATCTCCAATAGATGGGGCGAGAGTCGCCCGAGCAAGAGTCGAAACTTAATTTAAAATTGATATATCTTTGTCCTCGAACATGATATATTTCATTTGGTGCAATCATAATAATGTTCATATCTCAGCGTTTCTGGAGGCATATAAGATTTTAGGCTTTATTAGCGTATCTTTGTTAATTATACAATGTATCGCCAAGTAAGTAAGCGTCTGCACTCCATGCCCGACAAGCTACTGAGCACTACTATAAAAACATATGTATCTTCACTTGAGCTATAAATGTCTATTGTAATGTATTTAGAATGAAGCTCATATATCTATCTTGCTTAAGATATATATAACATTTGTGTATATTAATGAATTTACGAGAAATAAACATTGATCTGAGAGAGAGTTACTCTGTAGTTCAGTCTGTACGGGGTGGGAGCTTCGTAATTTTTAAAATACATGTATCTCTGTTAGAACTTTAAATATGTCTATGGTAAAGTGTTTAAAGTGAAGCTTATATGTCTGCCTTTCTTGAGACATATAAAACATATATGTTTATTAACGAATTCACTTGAAATAAACATTGTTCTGAGAGAGAGTTGCTCGATCGACCGATCTGTCCGGGGTCGGAGCTCAGCTATTATAAAAGTACATGTATCTTCGCTTTAAATTTAAATATGCCCATGGTAAGGTATTTAGAATGAAGCTTATATTTCTATCTTTCTTGTGACATAAAACTCTTACGTTTATTAAGGAATCTGCGTGAAATAGGCATGGTTCTGAGATGAATGCTGCGGTTTTCGAGCTCGACGAGCGATGGAAACTGCCCTTTTTATAAAACTACAAATATCTTCGGTTTTACTTAAAATATTTTTCTGGTAGAGGTTTTACAGATAAATCGCATTTTTGTCTTTCTACTGACTAATAAATAATTTTGGTTTAATAAGTCATCAAGATGTTTTCAACACTATTCTTTCGGCGTTCGTCTTTTCCAACATGGGCGACCCTTTTGGAAATGCGATACTTGGGTTAACCCATCCCATAGTTGGGTCTGTTTCCATTATGGTCCTGTCGACCCTGTGGACGCCCTACCGACCCTGTGGGCGGCAGTGGACCCCATACCGACCCTGTGGGCGGTAGTTTTTTTTTATTATTATTATTTTCTCTCACAAACGTGGCCACACATTTACAATGCTAACGAGCATATATACATTTTCTTCTGTCCTCCATGGACAGGGTTAGAAATCAGTTAAACATATAGTTCAGGGATTTGTTGAACAATCGACCACAGAAGGTGATTCGGTACTTTTAAAATGCTAAGCTAACCTACATATGTAAATACATAGATACACAGATTTACGTATGCCCTACATAAAGTGTTCGAAGTGTCATTAATGTGCATTTACAAAGGTGAAATGCAATTCTGATCAGCTTCCATATGTACTTTATACACATACATATACATACACACACATATATACGTACATATACATATATACATGCAAATATGCACACAAATGCATTCACATACATTTGTTTCTTTTACTCTGACAGGGTGAGATAGCTGACAGAGAAACTAGTGTGCAATTAAGCACTTAATCACTGAAGGTGATTAAAGTGCTTTTACAAGCTCAGGTTATATAGTTACATCACATACATACATTGTATAAATGATACATTACATGGTCAATCTTGGATACAAGTCCAATATATCATCAAGTGTTCTAGTACTCATATAGTAATTACACAGTTCAGCATACCTCAGCCCAGGAGGGCAAAAGTCAGACAATATGGGACATTCTACAATATAATGTTCAAGAGAGTGCATGTTTTCTCTTTCACAAAGTTGACATATTGTGTACTCGACATTTGGGTTTTGAGAAAGCTGCCAGATACGTCTATATCCCAGGCGAATTCTGGCCACTATAACATCACATTGCCGGGTTCTTGTTCTATTAGTCCCATATGTGAATGTCTCCTCACGATATCTATCATAATATTTAATGCTACAACTTTCAGGTCTTTGTGAATTTGTTAGGTCGGTGAGATCTTCATTAGATATTTGTTTAAGTATTCTCTTTGTCACTGCTAATGAAACACCCATATCAATTTCAGTCACAGCCACAGTATCCGTGGTGCGGTGGTAAGACAGTCGCCTGGCGTTCCGCGAGCGCTATGTCATGGGTTCGTATCCTGGCCGGGGAGGATTTACTGGGTGCAATTCCTTAACTGTAGCCTCTGTTTAACGCAACAGTAAAATGTGTACTTGGATGAAAAAACGATTCTTCGCGGCAGGGGATCGTATTCCAAGGACCTGCCCGAAACGCTACGCGTACTAGTGGCTGTACAAGAATGTAACAACTCTTGTATATATCTCAAAAAAAAAAAAAAAAAAATCTACCACTGGTTTTCTACAGGGTGTCTTTGCAAGCATATCAACAGTGTCATGCCTTGAGATGCCAACATGTGATGGTATCCATAGGAATTTAATTTCAAATCTGTTTTCTTTAGCAGCTAAACCATTCATTCGATTATCACTGACTATTTTATGGGTGTCACTGCTATGGGCGTTCAATGCCAGGAGTGCACTCTGCTATAGTGGGCGGTAGTGGACCCCCTACCGACCCTGTGGGCGGCAGTGGACCCCCTACCGACCCTGTGGGCGGCAGTGGACCCCCTACCGACCCTGTGGGCAGCATTGGATGCCCTACCGACCCTGTGGGCGGCAGTGGACCCCCTACCGACCCTGTGGGCGGCAGTGGACCCTCTACCGACCCTGTGGGCGGCAGTGGACCCCCTACCGACTCTGTGGGCGGTAGTGGACCCCCTACTAACCCTGTCGGCGGTAATGGACCCCTACCGACCCTGTGGGCGGCAGTGGACCCTATATACTAATCCTGTGGGCGATACTAGACCCTATACTCTTCCTGTGGGCGGCAATGGACGCCATACACATCTAGTGGGTGTTATTGAACCCCATACCCATTCTATGGGTGGTTGGAGCCCCATACCCATCCTGTGGGTGGTAGTGGACGCCATCCACATCCAGTGGATGGTATTGGACCCCATACCCTTGCTGTGGGTGGATGTGATCCCCATACCCATCCTGTGGGTGGTATTGGACCCCTTACCCACCTAACAGGTAGTAGTGGACAATATACCCCTCCTATAGTTGGTATAGTAGACACCATACCATCCTGTTTGCAGTAGTTTACCCCATAGACATTTCAACATAACATTGTTTTCTGTTAGCGTTCCTACAAAACATTCTTTAAAGATTTTTAAAGCACTAACTATGGTATATTATATTGATTGATGAAGCACTGTTATTCTATGTAATAATTTATAGTGCTTATTATAATTTACTAAGAACAACTAATATTTCTCAAAACAAAACTACGAGCCTTCAATAGGATGTAGCTGATCTGTAATATTCTAAGAGCATGGACAATAATAGGTAAATTTCACAACCCATGTGGGACCTGAAAACTACAATTTTCATTATAATTGAACCAATCACGACTATTCTGCTATCTACGTTGATGGACGGTTACTGTGAGACGTAAATTGGTACGTGAGGAAGAGTTTGGGCCTTGGAAAAAAAAGGTAACTGGAAATATATCACATATGTACTAATTCACATTCAACATGCAGAGCATTTCTAGTTTGATTAAGACGTACTCTAGGAATATCAAAACTGTATTTATTAAACATATTGACTTTAAGCATTAAGTCATATATGTGCTGTCTTGTGTGAGAACGGGTTGCCTCATTTGCGTTGTTCAAATTATTTTCTACTGGCATTCCATGTGTAATACGTAGGCACTTCCGAATATAGCATTATTTTTGCAAAGATGTCATTTTGATATAGCATGAAGAAAGCAGTTAACGCTGTAGCCGGTGGATTCACAGCTGTTTGTTGCACATTTGCAGCTGTGAAATAAACGTGTTGTCCATTTTTGTGTTTTCAAAACAAAAACAAAAAATACTAACGAAATATTTCAATTCAAATGCAGATCAATCGACACAGCTCAATTTTACCACCAATTGCACTGAAAAATAATATCAGATAAAAAAACGAAATGAATAACAATGAAAAAAGAAACAAATAAACTATACCCACGAAATGAACGGTATGATAAACAACACAGCTCA